GAAAAAAATAATTTTGAAAAAGTAGCATTTTTGTAAAGATTTTAAAAGTGTTGCATTTTTGTAAAGTGGCACTTGGAAAGTGGRATTTTTTGAAATTTTTCTAAAATCATATGCTATGGTAGAAATCTCTACATTTTTTATTAATTTTATAATATAAATCCAGTAATACACATTTTGCAGATTTAAGTTTAACTAAATGTAATATTTAGATTTATCATATGATCTATTTTTAAGAAAAAATTGATATATTAAGAAGCTTTCATTATTATATTTGTAACAATATTATTTTGTAAACGACAACTACATTTACAAATATTTTTACTTTTCATTATTGAAAAACATATATTTTTCGTTTGTTATGTACGACAAATTCATATAAACCTAAAATTTATTTGATTTATTGTATGTGATAATTTACACAAATAATAAAAATTAATTTTACACTTCAAATAAATTGAAATAAATAACATTTGGATTAGTTTTAATACTTTATGCAAAATTGATCAAAACATCTAACATCAAAGTATGCTTGATCAAAACTTAACTTTATGACATTTATATACAATACATATAATTTTTGTAAGTTTATAAATATTGGAATACCCATCTAAATATTAAAATCGATTAGAAAATATATTTAATCCCACGTTTAGCGTCGGTCAAAATCTAGTAATAAGTAAAAACCAAAAATCGATATTCTTTCTCAATAATTACCACAATTGCCGAAGAAAGTAAAAGCCATGCATATGAAATCATAGAAAAACGTGACATTTTGGATGATTAATGAATGATATGATATAAAATCTGGAAAAGTAGAAGCACAATTAGTGGCGTCGTCCATATCGTATTTACACTAATTATGGAAAGTTTTGAGTTTTTACTTAGTTTGTCATAATAGTAAACAAAATAAACTTTTAAGTTTTAAATATTTTCAACAAATGGAGAACTTTGCTTGGTGACATACATTGTTGGGCTAAACGTTTTGCTGAGGTTCAATTCAACTATACAGATTCCGACTTATCTTTTCCCTGTCAAAGCTTCTACTAGAGCTACCTATACAATTCACACGAAACTCGAATCTCTTCTTCCTTTCATAATCACCTCCTTGTAATACTGTGCTCTGACTCTGGTCCTCTAAAAGTAGTTGTGTAGTTGTGAAGGAGAAGAACCAAAAAAAAATAAACTTTTTCTTATATTTTCGAAACATGATTCGAGTAATTCAAACCCAACATCAGAATAAACCTAGTAGCAATTTTTCATAAAAATATATTCCAACACATATCTTCAATGACATTGTCAATGAATGATGATCTGACAGCTGCGAGAGCGCTTTGAGAATGAACGAAGCTCCTCGAAGATATCTGAATCTTGGTTTGTCGTAGAAGAATCTTTGAAACGCAGAATGAGTTTCTTGAGAACTCCTGAATTCTCGAGAAAATACCTAACTAGTTTCTTCCCGGTTTCTTCCTCCATAATCAGCTCTTTAATCTCAACACACTCCAGAGTCGAGAACAAACACTGAGGCACGTAGGTAAGTTCAAGTTGCTCTGGCTCTGTCAAAACAGAAAAGTCCTGCAAGCAAACAGGCAGAGTTTACGCGATATAAATCTCCACAATATTCTTATAGACTCAAAACAGATTCTTTACCAAGATGAGGTTTTTCAGATTTGGACAGCTCTCAAGAAAGACTGGAAATAGTTGTAAAATGGAGCTAGAGAACTTAGCCTCCAAACGATGCAAGTTATCGAATTTGGGAATGGGTCTCAAGTTGGAATATTGATAGAGGACCTGCAAGAAGAAAGAAAATGATACATCATACAAAATTAAAGTACATTTGGTTGTTATACACACATCAAAGAGTAATATATTTACCTCTAGAGTACGCTGAGAGATGGTCATACGTCTTACACTAGAAATACCGGCGAGAAAATCACGGATAATATCTCTCTTCCTTAAATCCTCCGGTTCCAACGGACTGCCTCCATAAGTTACATTAAATTGGCTATCAATCTCGATCATGAACAAGGAGCTCAAGTTCTTGATTACAATCCTATCAGATTGATTATCTTTAAAACTCAAATACTAGAGTCCTGGAGCATACTGAAAAATCTGTACCGCCCACACCATTCACAAACGTTAAACGAAAGCGTTTCAGAGTCTGAGACCTCACCCGTAGAAACATCACAAAATCTTGATAATAATAATCATAAGGCCTAATGAATGTAAGATCTTCAAGAACAGGACAACCTGAGATTATCTTCTCCATAATCAAAGGATCATCAGCAAACCAAATACAGTATCTTCCAAATACATGTTCTTGAGACAAGGTAGAGAAACAACAGACTCCGGATTCTAGATCCCTACGGTAACGAGCTTTAAAGACACCAAAGCATTGCTCTTATAAATGTTCAGAGGCATGTAATCTCTCGTACAAGGAACCATATCGGTCTCAACATCTAAATGCCGAACTCCACGAGTAACCGCTGTACCGATCCACTCAGGGAATCGTTCGCCGTAGCTGTTGTATTCATCATACTTAATCTTGAACTTTTGCATTCGAAATTCGTGATTGAATTCGAGGAAATTGTCGATTAAGCTCGGTAAGGTTTCGTCGTCACAAGGATGGAAATCATTGTACTTTAAGTCAAGACCAGGAACCCTAAGCCAGAGAAACTCCCATCTCTTGGATAAAACACTTGGTCTTAACTGAACCGAACCAAAATCGAAACCAAATCAAAATCCGGTGATATTTAGTCACACGGTTTGATTATGAAATTTTTTTTTGTTTTCACTATAAAATCTTCAAGAGAAAAAAGGTTTCCTCGAAAAGCATCTTGTTTACATCGAAACCCGAACTAGAGCTACAATTCTCACGAAACTTAACGCAACTGTCTCCTTCTCATTTACTGCACTCTGATTCTGTTCCTTCTCAACTCAAGAGTTTCTTCAATTGGAAAACTCTT